TTGTTTGCTCTCTGCCTACAAGCCCACGAAAGCAGGATGGAAGGACGACATGGGGGTGTGAGAAGGGTAAGGGGATGCTGCTACTTGGGTGATGCAGGACCATGCAGATACCCTCCTCTGATTGCCCAGAGAGGCAGGAAAACTGCACCTAACCGCCTGTGCTCCGCCAGCTGCTCGTCTGGATGCTGCCACTGCACAGGGCAAATGGCAGAAGAGGAAAGCTGGCTGAGGGGTCAGAGCGCAGGGCTGGGGCAAAGCCTCTCCTGGCCCAGCCTAGGGACAATCCGCACAGCTTAAGTGTTTCGCTGTCCGGACACAAGGAGCTCTCACCTGGATGATGGTGTAGCAGATGCGCCCTGCCTCCTTGCTGAACACACAGTCTTTGAGGGACTGGTCCACTATAATATTAGCCACTTTCTCCAGGTCTACATTGCTGGGATCTACAGAGAGGAGAAACACTGTCAGGACCCAGCAGCCTTTGTGTCCTGCTTGCTTTGGTGTACCTGGAAAGCAACCAAGGTCGGCACAGGGCCTGGTAAAATCATGTTAAATGGTGCAAAACCTCATGCTCACTACCACATCAAGCGTCACACCAGCTGCTTTGAAGATACCATTTCCACAGTCCTCTCAGGCTGAATACCCAGCCATCTCAATGGGAAAGCGATGGAGGAAAGCAGGTAATATGGGGAAGCAAGAAGTTGATCTGAATCTGAAATGCCAGCACTGCTTCAAAGTTGGGTTAGCGGGAGCCAGATGTGCAATCTCGTGGTGGGCTTTGAACAGAGACATGACTGGTGAGCAGGAGGCCCCAGGGGCCAGGAGGATGAGATGGCCCCGCAGCGGGGAGGGGCAGAGAGTGAGAACTAGGCACTGGAAAGAGGTGAGAGGCCAAATCTGGGGAGAGATGCTGGGTTAGAGCAGGAGAGGAGGGTACTCTGAAATCAGGGAAAACCACAAGGATGAGAACCAGGAGCTGAGTTTGAACTGCTGCTCCATTACACACTGAGGAGAAGGAGAGAGGGGACAAGAAGAGGCAGGGAGCAAAGACCTTCCCGGAGAAGATTCACCAGTGGCACCCAGTCATGGATGAACAGCATTTATGAAACAGCTTTTCTACACTTAGCAGTTGGTGTTCCTTAAAGGGGTCCAAGCATCCAGCCTCATCTACCAGCTAAGATGCATGTGCCAGAGGAGCTAGTAAAAAGCCTACCGACCTTTGAGGGCTGTTTTCAGCAGCTTCTGAGTCTCGCTGTCAAACGACTGTATTTTATACTCTTCTTTGCCTGTTTCCCCCATGTCTGGCTTCCTCCAAGGGCGAGAGTCAGGGCAACGGATGGGCTAGTGACAGTCCCTGGGGAAAAAGCACACAGAGTTTAGCTGGACAGAGAGGCAGACCCTCACCCTGCCATTTGGCAAATCCCATCTAGTGCTGGAGCACATGCCTGACAGCCCCCCACCCCAAGGAAACTCCTCTGTTATTAGGGACCCAACTCTAGCCCTAGATCTGAGCAAAGCCTCACTCCTACATCTTTTTAAGACTTGCTTCCTATCAGCCTATGATAGGACTCCATCTGCAGAGCCTTTACATTTTTCTGATATGAAAAATGTGTTTCAGTCTATTGATCTGCAGGTTCAAAGTGGACAGCACACCAAGGCAGCCCCAAAACACACCTCTCTCCCCTCAGAAGGCTTCCCTGTGGCTATATCACAGGGAAGCACATGCAGGAGCACCCCATGCAGCTGCTCCCTTGTGCCTTTGAAACACCAATTTAGCTGGTTTCACACAAAAGCCTGGGAAGAATCAAACTGGCACCTAAGCATCCAACACACACTCTCCAGAGCAAGCAGAGCACCTCTCCTGTGCCAGAGCCAGGCTCCCTCAGCTCCCAGTGAGACACAGCAAGCTCTGCAGCCAAGTTCCCAAAAGCAACAGCTCCCGTCTCATCCCCCTGCATTCAAGCACAGCTCTATACGGTACCAACGGTGCTCCTAAATAGTCTTTAAATTAATTTTCTTCTGCTTCCTGATACAGCAAAGATGGCAAGAGGGTACGCACGGCACAGAGAGGAAGGGCTTTCTTTGACACGCACCCGAGATGATCTGCTGGATGCAGAATGTCAGGCTGGCCAGACCCGTGGCACAAACAGGAGAAGGCAATCCGCCAAATTAGTTTTGCCAGCTCATCGAAATTCCTGGGCTGTTACTCACCCCTCTTTGCAAACAGGTCCCTACCCAGATTAAAGCCAAAGAGCCCATCGCCCTTTAGAGGCACGGGACTTGTATCACAGGCAGCCCGACCCTTCGGACACACCACTTGCCGTGAAGCCGTGGCACAACACATAGTAACTCAGAGCAGAGAGCGGAGCTCACCGGCAGGTAGAGGCTCTGCCCTCCTCACCTGCCTCTCTGGGAGGCCCAGGGCAGACCTAGCCTTACCGGGGTGACAACCTGCTCACGCTGCTCTCACAGCCAAAGCTCTCACCTGCGCGGGGTTACCTGCCCCGAGACCCACACAGAGGTTTCTTTCCCAGATGGAATCACAAGCAGCTGGGTGTCCTCTGTGCTGCATCTAGTTGCAAAAACGTTCCCATCTGACCTCTGCTCCTTCTGCACCATCCTCTCCCTCTGTGTCTGCACTCACGCCATTCTGCACTGCCAGCGCAGTGGCCCAAGCTCACCAGCAGCCCTGCATCCCACCAGCAGCATCGCCGTGCAGAAGGAACCTGGCAAAAGCTCAGCGCTGCACACAGTGAAGCAGGAAGCGCCCGAGCCCGTCTAGCAGCGTCTCTGCTGCCACCGCCCAGCGCCTCTCCCGGAGCATCCTTCCCCACAGCTCCCTGGGGATGGGTATGGCTGCTTTGAACTGCTGTGCCAAATAACCCTGCCCGGAACAAACCACAGCGCGTGAGCGTAAAACCAGCCAGGCCTCATCTGCACTAGAGACCCTGCTGCCAGGACCACCTTGCCTGAAGGGCTGGTGGCAGTGGGTCACACTAGGCACAGCATCACCCATGGGTACCGATCCCTCCTCTGCAAGTGGTCCCCACTAGATGAGCTCTCCCAGGGGCTGTGGTCGGGGTTAGCGTCCTTGACCTGCTGGTGAGCAGCTGGCCCGTGTGCCAGGGCCCTACCGTGTGGGGGCCATAACTGGTGGGAAGGGCTGCGTGCCCCGGCCATGGCAAGGGAAGGGAGAAGAGCAGCGAGGCTCCTCGGCCATCCCTGAGCATCGCCCGTGTCCGCCCGAGGGACGCCACCGGCCG